GTAGTCGGACGAGTTGTTGCCACTTGTTGGTGCCAGCCCCTTTCTCCTTACCACTTCACTCTCACCGTTCAAAATGAAGGGAACTGTAGCGGATTGTTCATGTTTGGTATTGACTTCTTATATTTTACTTTCTCCTGCCAACTGGCAACGCGGCGATTTCGCTGTGAGCGGAGCTGTCTGCCCTCCTACGTTCCACGTTGTTGTGTTGAAAGAAGGAAGGGGTCGCACAAAGAAGAAATTCCTCAGCGCTATCCTTGACCTATCGCTATTCTTGACCCTTGACGCCCCACCAACTGCTTCAATAGTATCCTCTTCCACGTCTTCGACTCCGTCACTCTACACTCAAAGTTGTCTGGAGACGGACCACAATTCCACGTGAGCATTATTACAAATCAAAAATATTTATTTTAGTGGTATGAACTTTGACCGCTTCCTCGACAAGTTTGACGAGTCAACTTTGGTGACGATGAAACGACACTATTGGACTGCTAAGCAGCTGTTGAGGACAAAACTTGGGAAGAAGGTGGGTGGATCTGTCAAAAAATTTTTGAGCTTTTTGAAAATTGGGAAACTTTTGGACTGGAATATTGGATCTACTTGGTCGTTTTGATCGCGCGGCCAAATCGCTCGCGCTGTCAGAGCGATCAAATTTCCAAGTATGAACGCCCTACACAGCTGCCCATCATGCAACCATTGACAGCTGGCTGCCAGCTGTGATGTTTGGGGTTTTGGGCTATTGTCAGAAAAGGGAATATCATTCGTTGGGGATTTTGGTCGAGTCCGTACGACCCCCCCCCCCTCTGGAAGGTTGCTTGACACGACCCCACCCCCTCTGATACGATCGAGCTGTGTAGCGGGGGACATAGTACTTATGAAATTGGAAAAACTACGGGAAAGTGAACCTCTCTCAGAAGGCAGACGAGACATACTCAACTTCTCCCCCTTTATAGCGTCGCGGAAAAAGAAAAATCATCTATAAAAAATTTTTCCCTGATCAAATACGACCCCTCCCTTGCTGGGGAATCTCCAACGATGATGACTGTCCTGGTCAGGAAGTCCTTGTAAGGCAATCGTGCCCGACCGTTCCATATCACCAAAAGCATAAAGTAGCCAACTGTGATTTGGACATTGTTATGCAGTCACTTTTCCCCAATCTACTACTTTTCCCCATAGCCACCAGCTTTTCAATTCCGTTGCAGGAAGATGAGCACCTTCAAGCGTCCGACGCTTCTCTCGACTCGAAACTAACGCTTTTCCGATCGGTTAGGGCTACGTCGGAAAATCTGTTGGCATGCATTGAGAACTATCAGGCATTTCTTTTAGGTAAGTTGTTCTAATCTTGCCTCAAGGTCGCGTTTATACTTCGCGGCTTGAGCGATTCAGCCGCGCGGTTCGGGAATAGCGCCCATTTGCCCGATCGCTAATAATTGGAACGCTGCAATGGCCTGAAGGTGGATCGCATTCACACGTAAAACGTTCAAGACGCAAAGTATGAACACGACATTGCCCCTATGTAATCTTGGTTTTTCAAAACATGAATGTGTTCATTTCTTAATTATTTCTGTGATCGGAGTTGACCTTTAGTAATCGCGAATGGAGATATTTATACGCTTTTTTTTCCTATGACCGACCGCAGCATCATGAATTTGTCGTTATTGATCGCATGGCTGCAGGATATGCCGCGCGTGACTACGAGCAAATTAAAATTGTCTTGTCCATCTTTTAGTTCCTTTTGCCACTTCCTATTAACCTACCTTGGTGAGATCTCGAGACTCTTGTCATGTGTAAACGAAGCTTGTGCTATTGCGTCGCTTCACATGAGTCTACAGTTCTCCACAGAGAGCATCGCTTATAGGGGCTAGGGAAATGCCCCCACTAAGCCGAACTGCGCCAGTTTTAGATCCCGGCTCGACAACTACTTTCCTGTGGATCGTCCTGCTAGGCCCTATGATTGCAAGCTAATCCTAGCGGGCGCATCTGGTTCTGAATGCTATAGTTCACCTTCTGGCTGCCGTCCAATCAAATTCGTCAGTCACCGACGGTTAAGGTTTTCATAGCCCGATGGAGTGGTCCTTCAAAGGCATAAGGCACGATAATTTGGTACTCGGTCTAAATGGTAGCAGGGGTGCTATATAGTGGGGAAAATGGCGAAAAAGCGAAGTGAAACGGTCAAAAACCTGCAAAAAAGCCTTTGTTCTACACGACTCAGAAAGCAATTTTGGACGAGTTTCCCGTTGGCATCGTGCCAATAACCGCTACGGTAGATACGGCTGCATGTATGTACTCATATATCCATGCAGCACCGCAGCCGCTTCATATCAATCCCTTCGCTTCATATTGTACTTCGCAAATGAAGCAATACGGGC